GTTTGGCTCCGAGGCGGTCTGAGCAAGGAGCATGTGGGGCTGCTGAGGGTGGCAGGTCCCCAGGGGTGGCCCAACTCCGAGCCCTGTTGGGGCACGGCCAGGAAGGTGCAGCAGCTGGTCACGTTTGCTGAGCACACCCAGCCCTTCAGTTTCGGAGAAATGCCAGCTGAAGGTGCTTTTGAAAACAAAACTGCTCTGTAATATTCACGGAGTGGCTGCCAGAGCCAACTCTCCCCACTTTGAACAGCTCTGCAGGAACTCTTTATCCCCAAATTTGAACAAAGTCTGCTCTGTGTTTATTGCCTGCTCCTCACCCACTTTATTACTCTGACTTAAACCTGTAGACGGTTGTCTTCAAAGTCGGGACGCTCTTTCCAGGAACAGGTTTCCACATCCATTGCTCAGAACATAATAATTGGGAACAGTGTTTAGATAAAAACATTAGCATTATCACCACAAAAGTAATTGTTATGCTAATGGGCTGCATCTTTCTGTTGGAACCGTGCTAGAAAGGTTAGTTAAATTTAAACAAAATTTATTCCTTGAAATTCGGACTATTTCTGATAGGGAAAGCTATAACCGCCCTGATGCACAAAACAGCCCTTGCAGCTGATGTCTGAAGTGCTCAGAAGACTGCACCTGTTATTCTAACAGAGGTGACCTCTGAAACAAGAAAGCCATTCTATATAAACACCGAGCTAAGTGACTTTCCCCATGTCTCCTCAAATAACACCCAAATATCTTTTCTTGTCAAAATCTTGCACTTGTCCCATTGTATACACAGTAAATCATGACAACCAGTGACTTATTTGAAGGCTGGAGCCCAAAGCAAGAGGTGCTGGTGCTGAAAGAAGTTTAACCAGTCACCAGCCTCTAAAATATTAAGCCATAAAATACAACTCTATTTTTACAAAAGTGGTTTTAAATGACCTGTCAAAACAGCTGGTTCCTGCTGGCTGCTTTTTTTTTTTTTTTTTTTTTTTTTCCAAGGGGTGGCAGAAGGAATGAATTAAAGGAAAACAAAATCATTAGGGGATAGCTTCAGTTTACTTTTGTAATATATGCATGTTTTGTGTTAGAGTAGCAAAATTCTGGGAAGCATTTACCTCCTGTTGAAGCTTATGAGATTAAGTGTGGTATATCCCTTGTGCTGGCCTGTTCCCAGGCCGAGCCCTGCCCTGTGAGTGCTGCGACGATTCGTCATGCAGAGGGGAGGAGGAAGGCTGCCCCGCGTGCATCCCCACCATCACGGATTTTCGGGTGTTCGTCGCAGCCCCGCCACGCTGTGCACTGCCACAGCAGCTGTGGCATCCCCACGCTGTTCGTGTGCTGGGTGCTAAAGCTGGGGCTTTGCACAGAGCTGGGGTGCTGAGCTTCACACGGGGAAAATGCGGTGCTGGCTGTAAGAAGAGCAGGTACAGTGCAGCTGTGAAATCTGACTTCTGCCAAGTTCACGGCTGCCCGTAGCACTGGCCAACTCTGGCGCCTAAAATACTTAACTCAGGAAATCCCAGCTTGCACATACGTTGTTGGGCAGCCCCCAGAATCCCTCCTCTGTGCCTTCACTGTGGAAGACTGCAGTGCCCAAATTCTTCTGCTTGATTTCTTTGTAGACCTCAGAGGTAGAGTGGAGCCACAGTAACTGTGCTGTGCCTGGGGGGTTCCTGCCACCTCTCAAATCCAGCCTGCCCATCTGCATCCCAAAGTCCGAGGTTAGCTGACTGGAACAATACTTGATTTCCATTGCCATTTCAGGGTCCCAGCTCTCACAGTCTGTGGTAGGAAAATAGGACCCCCCATATGCAGTACCTCAAAAATTCCAGACCTGGGCTTCTAAATTAAAAAGAAAAGTAATCACAGCAATCACATCAGCTCCTTTTGTGATATAAAAGTGAACCCAATGTATTTTTTCCTGTTTACCTCTGTTCCCTATTGCAACAGAGCTGCGGTCAGGGTGATCCTTCCCTCAGCTACACTCACAGGCTCCGGTCTTCCGATTGCCTCTCTCTTATGTGGCTGCTGTCACAGGGTGCTGCTGCACCCACGACCCAGGGCAGAATCCATCTTGCAATCAGACCTGAAGTTGATGATACATCTGAAGGAAAGCCCTAGCTTCGCAATCCGATAAAATATTAAAAGCTGGTAAGAGGCGGAGTGCTCTGCCTGAGTAAGCAGACATTTGGGCAGAATCGTTTTTTTTGGTGCAGAAGAGTATTTTGGGATCCTTCCCTTGCTTCAGTATGAAGCATTCTGTATTACTTATCTGCTCCTTGGTTGTGAGCTGAAAATTTGAGGTGGATTTTTATTGCAGAAAGAGGGTGTGGAAAAGCTTAGTCAGCACAAAAGTTTAACTTCGCTAACAAGGTCTATAAATTTGCCGCAAGGATAAGGCAATGCCACTCCCTTTCCTGTCTAAATGCTTATAAGGACAAACATTTAATCAAAACCCACTCTTGTACACAGAAGCTGTGTTAGTGGCATTCCGCATCTCATGTTTAAAACCCCAAATTTTAAAACAGAAGTGTTTTTAAGGTCTCTGAACATAGTTTCTACTATTTTGTTAATTGCCTCATGTCTCCTTTTAAAATGCTTTGTTCTGAAGACAAATCAGCATGTTCTGAAAACTAAATATAAAAGAGTAAATGGACTAAAAATGAATAATAATAATAAAAAAGACTTGGGCTGAAATTTAGTTCTTTTGCATTTAGTGCTTTTACTAGTGTGAAAATGAGGATTTCCTGACAAGGCTGAAATTAAGCAAGAGTTTTGATCAAATGTCATGAATCACCCCGACATTGCTCAGGGAAAAAAAAGGAAAATATGCTTCCTCCTCACAGCAGTCCCCAAAGCCCGGTCACTTTGCAGGTCTGGGCCTGGCTGCTATTGCTGCTGCTGAACGACTTGGAGCTGAGTGAGAACCAGTCCCTTCCTTCCCGGGCTGCTGTGATCTGAAAGCTTCTGCTTGGATTTTCCCTCCCACGTTGCCATGATCTGAAAGCTTCTGCTTTGAATTTGCATGGACCTGTAATTTTCCCTGGGCACTGACCGGGATCTTAAAAAAATGTTGGAGACGAACTGTCCTCTGGCACATGGCACTGGGGCAGGATGCTGATCTCATTTCTCTGCTCTGCCACAGGCTCTGGTGTGACATTAGCTAAGTCAATTAGCTTCTGCCTGCATCTGGTTTTCATCTTTAGAAGGGGGACAGTGGCAATTTCCTACCTCACGGCAATCCTGTGAGGATAAATATATCAGCTTGGGAAATGCTCCGATACTTGTGCGATCAGTGCTTGGACACTTCTTGTTCAGGCTGCGTTCTGCAGTGCCCGTGGCCTGCAGCCCGGTGAGGGGTCAGTGCTGAGGGCCACCACAGCAGCCCTTGGACAGGCTGAGCACAGAGGCTGTTGCAGCCATGGCCACAAAAACATGTTCTTACAGACCTGACAAGAATGGAAAGAAACGCACGACAAACTGTCAGGAAATAGAGAGGAGCAGAGACCACTCCAGCGGTGAACTTAACCAAAAGTCCTATGCCATTCTCTTTAACTTACAAGCACATGATGTATTTTAGTGACTTAAGCTGCTCTTTCCATTACTATTTATTTAGGGTTAGAGAAAGACTGAACTGGTATTGCTGGGGCATGGACACATGGAGATCATGCTGCAAAGAATTACTCATCTGTAAGTCTGCTTTTCTGAACAAATGAGTGTTCTCCTGCTTTTGGGAAGTGTTTCCCGTAAGCCAGTTGCCATTTGCACTCCCAGGCTTTGGCTCTCAGCAGAAGCAGGAGGTCACCTCAATTCCTCCCTCGGTGGCCAGCACTCCCAGGGCCTTCCTCTACCATGCTTTATTTGGTCAGGAGCAGAATTTTTGCCAGGAACCAGCTGTCAGGCTATGTGCTTTTCTTCCTTCTTTTTCAATAAACTTACCTTTCTAGTTTGTTATGATAAGGAGGAGGGAAATGAAGTACAGGAGTTATTACTTATGCTATGTCTTGGCAGGATCTCTAAGGCATCCATCAAGAAGGGAGCTTCACTGGGCTAAGCACTACACAACGCCACGGTAAGAGAGCACACACATCCTGCCCAGGTCCCTGCAGACAGCTGGGACAAACGCTGAAGGAAAGAAAAAGCAATTGCACCGACTTTACAGAAAGGTAACTGAGGAGCAGAAAACTCACAGGGCTCAGACCTGTCCTGCTGGCTGGTGGCTGAGCCAGGAAGCAGAAATAACCACCACTCTGGCATTGTGGCTGCACTTTTATTAGTCTTTTATTTCTTCAACCAAGTGCAATCTGTAGCAAAGCAAAATTAAGGGTAAGTCGTTATACTCAACTCAAAGGCTTCACAGGCCAGACACCTAGTGCTGCAGAAGAGAAAGCATCAGTGAGCCCCTCTTAGGCAGCAGCTCCTTCAATCAGAGGAAAACGGAAATGGGCAAGACAGATATTTTTTTATTTGGAGCAAAACAGAGAATTCTAATAACCCTGTCTTACAAAGGAAATGAAAGAGTCTTGGGGGTAATATTGAAAAAATGGTGGGCAGTCAGAGTCAAGGCCATATGGTCCTCAAGCTGTGCTGTCAAGCCGATCTACAGATGGAGATGTATTATCTTACACTAGCGCAAAGTTGAGCATTGCAGCAGGCACTTGTGAAACAGACCAGAAGACCTGACAATACAATTGACAATTACTATAAAATCAGGTGAGAAAAAGTCATCAGCCAGAATTGTCCCTCTAAGAAAAAATAGTTGGAGAAAGGATGAGCTTCCTCCAGGCTCTGCAGCATATAGGTTCCATCCAAAATATTTAGCGAGTTTAGCAACACCTGAAATGAGAAGGGAAGTTGTTCTGACAAGTCTTAAAAAATTCAGAATCCTGGTCTTTTGATTTTATACTAATTTATTATGTTAAAGGTGAGCAAAAGCCATCCCACAGTATCTACACACCAGCCTGTTATCAAGTGGCACACATGACAAGAATATGGGTGTGTGCGTTTGCTCTGAAGATCTGATCAAAGGGAAGGAATAGCTGCTGAGAGCTTAGCCATGAGCAGTGACCTCCAAGCCAGGTACTGCGAATGCACACCGGGACTTTGCCTTCTGAACAGCTTGCTGCTGGAATGGCTGGGTTGGCTGCAGTCACAAGACGTGAAACAACGGGGTGCTACCCATAGACTGGTGGACACTGTACTCTGTACACCCCCATCAGCTCTGGTGGCAACATGCCAACGTATCCTGTAGCAAGCAAACTGCTTAGGTAGGTGCCTTTGCTGTCAGCTACGGCGCCTTGCCACTACAAATCCTTGAACAGGTAAAGGGGTGACTGACTGGCAGTCCTGTGCTCGGTGGATCACTAGGTACTAGTGCCTCCTGGGCTTACATTATTAATTGTCTTCCAAGTTTTTACGTCATAGGGGCGTGAAGTGTGCAAAGGAATAATAAAGATTTTTGGGTGGTAGCCGTATGTGAAAACTCCGTTTCATGATGCTGATGATTAATAGCTTACACCCATGGGACAATCATTTACTTGCAAGTCTTGGCTAGAAGCTCCAGGGCACCAAAAGTTTATGAGGCAGCTCTGTGTCAGTCACATGAATCTAGATTTGTAAATGTGCTTAGGAACCTGCATTAGGAACCTGTCCAAAAGTATCTATATCTATCCCACAGATTGGATCAACTTTTCAGTGTCTCCTCTCATAAGCTGCTAGGCATCTGACAAGATTAGCAAAGGAGCATTAAACCCCAAACCTTCTATTTTTCATGCAAACTTCAAAAGCCTGTTGCTTCCACCTCAGATGGAGTAGGGCTGGGCTGATGTGATCCCCTCGCCGACAGGGCTGCGGTGGGAGCTGAGGGTCTGGATTCCCACTTGCAGCTCTGTGAACCGCTCGGCAGCGAGGATCTCCCAGCTTCCCCGTGGTCTTGTGCTCTGAAGCATCCTGAAGCACATCCAGATTTTAATACAGAGCTGAACCCATGGGCACTTTGGCAGTGCTGCGTGGCGCCGTGCCAGCAACACTTACTCTAAGCTCCGCGGCCTCGCGGTGGCATGCACAGAAGGGCCGTTCTGCAGCAACGTTTGGATGCCGAGCAGGGAGGGAAGTGCCTCAGAACCAAAGGCTTTCTGTGTCAGGACTGCTCACTGTGCAGCAGAGGTGCAAGGCTGGCTGCGGGTGCTGGGTTTAGGGCAGAGCAGAGCGATGCACGCTGCCCTGAGCTTGTGGTGTCATGCTCAGGAACCTGAAGCCCTGTGCTCCTCTGAGGACAAGGGGACAACGCCAGGGTGCAGGAGGAGCCGCGCTAACTCCACGAGCAGCTCCTGGGCTCCTGGCACCACCCTGGGTGAGAGGACAAGGGCGAAACATCCCGGAGAAACACAGCTGCCAGGCATGGGAAGGAATCCTGGAGACCACAGAGGGAAAAAATTAACATGCCGTGGGAAACGCCTGAGCCGTCCAAGTGCAGCGTGCGGAGGAGAACGGCAGCGGCGGGGTGAAAACGCCGAGCTGGGTGGTGATAGTGCCTGCTGTGGTGATAGTGCCTGGTCTGGTGATAGTGCCTGCTGTGGTGATAGTGCCTGGTCTGGTGATAGTGCCTGCTGTGGTGATAGTGCCTGCTCTGATGCAACCCCAGCACCCAGGGAGGGTTGGGCGAGGAGCCACAGAGCACCCAAACACCCTGTGGATCAGCCCTCCAGCCCTCCGAGCAGGCCGCACGACGCCCGCCTCAGCTCCACCAGGCTGGGGGAGCGAGGTGGGCATCAAAAAAATAAAATAAAAAAATAAATCAAGGGCCACGGGCAACGAGGGCGGCCGAGGGAAGCGCGCTGCGAGCGGGCGGGCTGAAACAATTCCCAAGTGCCGGCTGCTGAACGAAACGCGGCCGAAATGAACCCAAATCGCAACAGGTCTCGGGCCGGCGTTCACCTGCCGGGGGTGCGGGGCTGGAAGGGGGGAGCGGGGGGCACCGAGGGGCCCGGGGGCCGCTGCTCCCCGCCGCCCACAGAGGGCAGCGGAGGCCGCCCGGGGCCGCGCTGCTCCCCTCGGAGCCGGCCCCGAGCGATCGCCGCCCGCCCCCGGACCCCCCCCTCGTTCCCCCCTCGTTCCCCCTGCCCGGCCCGGGCCCCCCCCCCGGCTCCTTCCTGAGGCGCCAGCCCCGGGCCGCGGCCGCTCCCTCCCCGTGCCCGTCCCCGCCCCGCCGCCCCCGCCCACACCTGGCCGGGGCGGGCCGTGCCGTGCCGTGCCCGCCGGCTGCGGGGCCGACTCGGCGGGCGGGCGGGGACGAGGAGGAGGAGGACGAGGACGAGGAGGAGGCGGCGGCGCGGAGCAGGCCGTGAGGGGAGCGGGGCCGGCCGGGAGCAGCGCCTCTCGCCTGGCCGCGGGGCCGAGCGCGGCAGCGGAGCCCCGGCCCAGGTGAGGCGGCGGGCGGCAGGTGGCGGTGCTGCCGGTGCTGCCGGTGGCGGGGCTGGGGCTGGGGCTGGGGCTGGGGCTGGCGGCGGGGCGGGCGCGGCGGCGGCGGGGCGGGCGCGGTGCGCGGTGCGCGGCCCCGGCGGGGGCGGGCTGGCGGCGGCGCGCACGGAGCGCGGTCCCGCTGCTCGGCGGCGGAGCAGGGAGAGGAGCGGGGAGCGGAGCGGGGCCGGCGGGGAGCGGGCGGCTTCTGGGAGGCAGCATGCGGGCGGCGGAGCCCCGGAGCCCCGGTAAGTGGCTCGGCCGCGGCGCCTTCCCCTGCAGCCCCCCCCCCATCCCCGTGTAACCCTCCCGAAACTCCGCCGCCTGTTGAGCCCCGCGCCCCGGCACCCCCGAGCGGCGGGGCTGCCCCCGGGGGGGGGCACCGGGCGGTACCGGACCCCCCTCTCCCCCAAACCCCTTTCTCCCCGCCCGCTGGGTACGGAGGGGGCAGCCCGGTTCCGCGGGGCACCTGCCGGGGCTGGGGGGGGACGGGGACGTGGGGCTCGGTGTCCCGGTGGGAGCCCCCCGGGGGTGTCCCGGGGCCGTGAGCGGAGGGGGGGTGCCGGGGGGGGGGCTCGGCGGCGTTTCCCCGGTTGCCGTTTTGCGCTCGGAGGAGGGAGGGCGCCGCAGCGGGGGGCACCGGGGGGGGCTCCTCGTGGCCCCGGGGGGGGGGGGGGAGCGAGCGGCCGCCGGGTGGCGAGAACAAAGGGGCCCTGGTGGGGGGCGGGCAGGGGGGGCTCCGCCGTGCGGACCCCAAAATGAGGCTGGGGGGGGCCCAGCCCTAGTGCTACCGTGCTGCCCCCCCCTCCCCGCGGCCCCTCCGCTCCCCCGGGGGCTGCAGCCGGGCCCCGCAACCTGTTGGGCCGGGCGGCGGCAGCGCCGTGTGTGTGTGTGTGTGTGTGTGTGTGCGGGGAAACTCCGCTGCACACCCACCTGGAGGAGCCTCGGCAGCCCGGCACGGGGTCCAGCCGCTGGGAGGGAGCCTTGCCGTGCCCGCAGACAAAGATCCGGTACCGCGGGGCTCCGACCCGCAGGGATGTGCTGCTGCTGCTGCTGCTCCCCGGAGACTGACCGGGGCAGCTGCGGGAGCGGCGCGGGGCTGGGGGCCCTGGGGGGGCCCCGGGGGTGTCGGCGGGTGGAGTTGCCGTGTCGGGGTCCGGTGGCAAGGTTCTCGCATCGAGCACGGGATTGAGCTGTAAAAAGTGATCGAGGCGGAGGGCGAAGGGTAGCCGGAGCGCCAGCTGTAAGTTACGCCGGGCGATGGCTGGTTTGGAGGTCCCTGAAGGCGGCTAACTTGAGCAGGGGTGGTGAGCAAATACAGTTTCCTCATCCTGCTTGTATAACCACCTTTGTTCATTTTTCAAAGTAAATGTTAAGAGAAACGACAAATTTAATTTGAGATTACAAAGGTCCTCGGATGCAAATGACTTTATCTCTGTCTGGTTACTGCATGGTTGTTCCTCGGCTGCCCGTGTGGCTTCAGAAGCAGCTTTCCCTTTCCTTTTTCTTTTTTTTTTTATGGAGAGCAGGCTGCTCTCCATACAGTAATGCAGGAAATGCTCAGCTCACAACAAGAGTTTTATGGAGGGAGCAAGTGTACTTTAGTCCTGGCTTTATTATTTCTGCCGTGGGGCTGAGGACGCACGTCGAAGTGCGTGACCAGCAGCCTGCCCTTCGTGAGCAAGAAGTAAAATCTGCACAGCGAAACGGCCCGTTTGGGGCCTGGGGGGGAACACGCACACGTGGTGTGCAAATATCGAACTTCTCAGGTTGTGCCGTGAGCCCACCATCTTAACGTGCACGTTTCTTCGCATACGTCACCGGCACGTGTCCTGCTCATTGAAATAGGATGCGGCGTGACTGCAGGCGTGAAGGGGTTAAAGCAGTTTGTGGCCAAAGAGTTAAGGCGCTGCTTCAGCTCAAGAGATTTTTTATAATTCAGCTTAGTTACAAATATTGCCATCTGCCCTTTTCTTTGCATGTGCGTGTCTGTAAGTATATCTTGGAGAAATAAATACTGGTTGGGGCTGTTAGCAAAATAGTAGAAACCATAGATAATGTTTTATTGTCACACATGTTGGCAATGAAAATGTTGGTGTCCAGAAAATCCACATAGAAACCTTCCACCCTGTGTCTGTATTTGGCTGTGGGCTGAGAGCTATGCAGGTATTTTTAATTTTTCTTCAGACTAAGTCCTGCTTTTGGGAACATTAGCTAACTGTCATTGGCAAAAGCAGAGAAGACAGTCAAAGCTTGTGATTATAAGGAGAAAGATCTAAGCTTGTGGGTAACAGAGAAGAAATGTTTTCCTCTTTGTGTCCACATAATGCAGGGCTGTGGGAAGATATGCTTAATGAGGATGATTATTGCTGTGGCTTTCCATAAATCCACTTGTAATGGAGGCTTTGTACAGTTACTTCTGAATCTGTACATTTAAAAACTGCAAATAGCGATAATGGAGTTGGCTAATAGCAGACTGTCAAGTAAGTGCAATCCTTGTGATAACGTTCAGCCATAGATCTCCATTTAAGTATTACTTTTAAGAAGAAAATGTTTCTTGTAGGTCGTAGTATATGCATTTTGGAGGGGGAAAAAAACAGTTGTTGCTGCACATACTTGAATCTTAACCAGCTACCTTTCATTGTCCAGAGGTACTTTTGCTCTTCATTTTTTTCATCAGATCAGAGGGAGATCTACAATTCAGTGGATCCATTTGATTTGAATTTAGATAGCAGAAAGGATTGATAATAACCAGCTTTAAAGAAGAAAACAAAATCAAAGAAAACAAAATAACTGAAGAGGTCTACCAGAGTAGTAAACGTGTAGCTGTGTGCACGTGGAAGTTGGGACTGATGCCTCCTGTAGAGTCATAAACTTCCCTGTAAAGCATTAGAGTGAGCTGAGTGCCACTAGGCAGGAGTTGGAGCTGATCTTGTTAGTAGTATTAAATGGGACAAGCCTTTCCATTTCAGTTCTACATACCTTTTTTTTTTTTTTCCTTCAGTGCCTCTTAGAAGCCAGGGTTGATTTAAATTACTCGTCTGTTACGCAAGCTAAAAACAAAAGGTGAAACTAACACGGCGGGGAAGATTTTTCATGGATTATCTCACTGCACTACAGGAAGGTGTAAAGTAACACGTTCTCAAGTAAAGCACTTGTAATAGATATCGGTTAATTTATATAGAGCCTTGAATGAATGCAGTTTTAACTCGTGTAGTGAAGAAACAGCTTTTGAAGAAGCCTGGCACGTGAGTGGCTTGTGTGTACTGTTTGGAGGAGCTTGTTGAAAAATATTTGCGATGCACACCATCATTGCTTACTCCTCTTTAAAAGAAGTGCCTTAACTTTAACCTTTAATACAGTTTGTGAGGGCTCCTCACATGCAGTTACTTTTGCTCAAAATCTGGTCTTAAAAGCGAGCTGCATTTCTACAGACGATAGCGCTGTGCTCAAATCCAAAATGTATGCTTCCTTTCCAGTAAAAACTTATAATTACACAGGGTGGTAGCTAACTGGAAAGTATTGCAAAACATATGTAAGAATACTGTCGTACAAACTCTAAAACTGAAGAATGACTCACTGCGCCAGTGCTGTATCAAATTCTATCTATACGCAAGGTTTAAATGACAAGTTTACTTTAGGCAGGGAATATGCAATTTTCTTGTACTCTTTCTTCATCTAATGTCAAGTGAGCTTAATGAAATGGTACATGTGGGCATACAGGAGGCACCAGTTGTAGAGCTTTAATGAGCAAAGGGAACAAGCACTACTTGGCTGTGCTTGTGAAGATGGTGGAGGCATGCTGTATGCATACACTGTGTATATTAAACCAAGTTCATGGTGCCACGCGTGTCTTGAGACGTCTTTTAATATACCTTATGGTTTGCTTGTGTGCGTTTACTAACATTTGTTTTATTTTTGTTTTCTGTAGGAGAGCGTATTTGGGTTTTACTGGTGTAGGTTCATCTTTACGTATTTCTCTTAGTTGAGCTTGTAACTGGCATTTCAGGGTTTTGGCAAAAATTCAGGTCACTACCAAAATGAAATAGGTTGATGTTCAGCACGGGAAGGGGGCCAAGGATTGTGGAGAAAGGAGGAAAAGACTGCTTTCTGCTGGAGCAACGCGTGCCTGAGACTTTGTTTCTGTGATTGTGATCTATTACTAGAGCTTTGGGGAGCCCTACAAAATGCAGGGTGTGTAGTCAGGCAGTCAAGTCCTGCAGCTGGGAGGCTTCTGAGGGCCTGGAGAAGGACAGGGAGGCAGCAAATGTTGGGGGTGCCCTCGTGGAAGCCCAGTGCATGTGTGCTGGTGCTGTGGTGCCTGGCTGGTGGTTCTGCACATCCCAGGGTGCCGGGCAAAACAGCCCTGCAAAGCTGGAGAACCCCATGGCTGCTCCAGCCTTGGATGGAAGACGTTGAACTCTTCACAACCTCTTAATTTGTGATAGAGCCATGAGCCATTCTGCCCCAGAGCACATTCCTTCTGCTCTCTCTGCAGTTTGTCTTTATTAGCCCTGGGGGAGGTGGAAGATGTGTCCTTGGTCTTCAGTGTGTATTGCTCACAAGGGCTGTGGTCAGCAGTGCCTGCGAGTGCCTTTCCTTCCTGTAGCAGGGTTGAAGTCCCCTTGGGCTCTGAAAGGAGGCTAGGGAAGGGAAGCTGGAGCACTCACTGTTAGGGTGCACCCGGTGTGTGTGCACGTCTGTGC